GTCCGCCTCGAGGGTTTAGAAGTTTTTTGTAGGGGCGTCAATAATTACGTATAGTATTTTTGGAGTTTAGGGTCTAGGGCTCCTTATAACTATAGTATAATGGGCCCCAAAACCCCATTCTAATCATTAAGGCCTCCACATTAGGGTTATTCACTGCTGAGCTTTAAGTTTCCTGCAGCTTAGCGCCACAGAGCCGATCGGAAGACCTTAAACACTACTTGGAGGATCATGGGACTTAGTGACTAGGGTTATAAATGAGGTAACTACAATTATAACCCCAATTAGGGCACTTATAACCTTACTTACTAAGTCCCATGATCCTCCAAGTAGCAGACCTCGAGCCACATAACAAAATTGCGGCTATGCGTTTTTATACCTGTATTCTGTACCTACATCTCTATATCTAGATTCACATCTATATCTGTACGTCAGGGTTTGGGGGTTAGCCTTCAGGTGCTAAAATTTGGGGCTGAAGTTATGGACCAGTCTCGGATCTTGGACCTGCCGGGGTCAGGGCTCTGAGGCAGTTCATTTGCAGCCCAGCACTTTCAAGGCAGCAGGTCATGTGCTTGAAGTGCCGAAGGCTCTGCAAGCGGACCGCTTGATACACCATGCAATCGCAATCGTTCACTCAAGTTTCAAACTTCAGATAAGAAAGAAGGGGCTGAGCAAGTTGTAGCATACCCCCGGTTCGCTCCCCTCTCGGATGTTGCTTGAGCTGCGGCACGGTATGCGCTCGCGGAGTGCCATTTATCCGGGTGGGTTTTCGGGATGAGGGCTAAGTCAAGAGTTGATACCATGCAAGAAACCAAGCAGCCTCCAACCCCCTCGTACAGAACCCTAGTCCTTAACCCTAAACCCTACACACCTGACAGTGCACTGCACTCACTCAGGTGCTCCGACATGGGAAGACGCTTCAATTGCCGCACCCGACGAAGGTGGTCTCCGCGGGTGGGCGCCGGGTCATCTTCCGGCGCCTTACTCGGGAGGAGGACCGATGTCCGCGGGGGTCTGACGGTAGTAATTGTGGGCTTACTTGGAGGATCATGGGACTCAGTAACTAGGGTGATAAAGAAGGTAACTGTAATTATAACCCCAATTAGGGTACTTATAACCTTACTAAGTCCCATGATCCTCCAGGTAGTAATTTTGGGCTTAGGGTTTTAGGGTTGCGGTTCAATGCCTAGGAGGTTGAGGGTTTAGAGGAGTAGGGCTAGCAGCCAAGCCCAAAACCCTAGACTTGCCTCGCCTTTCGCAACACTTAGCCCTTGAGCGCCAACCTACATTGGAGCTTAAACATCAGGAGCCTGACCTTTGGCCCAACCTCTCTGGACCCAGATCAAAATAGTCCCTCAAGACAGTCGGCACAAAATTTCGAGCTAAAGGGTTAAGATATCGTTTGAAGCCAGATATGGCTCAAGTGCTAAGGCTCGCTCTGACCTCGGACGACCTCGGTATGGGGTTTAGGGCTTTAGGGTTTGGGGGTTTAGGGTTTAGGGGTTTGGGCGTGCAGGGTGTAGGGGTTTAAGGGTTTGGGGGTTTAGGGTTAAAGGGTTTAGGGGTTCAGGGTTTAGCTGTGGTATTCATCCCTTCCTTACGATCAAAAGCGTTAGCTATTCGAAGCTGAGCCCGGACCCCTACGTACCCTAAAGCCTGTAACCCCAATGCCCTGAGCCCGAAGCTACAGTTAACTCGAACCCCATACCGGATAAACCCCAAAACCCTCACTGCACTAAACCGTAATACATAAACCAGCTTGTAGTCGTAGAGTCCAAACCGAGAGCACCTAAGTAACTGCCAGGAGTTGGACGTCACACTTGTGGAAGGTCGGGGGGCCCGTATTGTACCGGTAGGAATAACGAGAAACAAAGGCTCTGCTCGGGTTTTTCAGGGGTTCGTAGGGTTTTCATTGGGTTTGATACGGGTTTAGCATGGTTTAGCTATAGTTGGTAATCCCTCAAGGACCCGATATCATTACACACATACTGTACTCCCAAAACCCGATTGTGGCTATTCCGCTATGTTTCTTCTGCTCGCACGTTCATGAGGAGCCTCAGTGTCAAGCACCACCCAAAGTCGACTACCGTTCTGGCCCGCAGACCCTTCTCCAAGTAAGGCCTACAATTAGGGTGTCAATACAGTGACCCGGCAGAGCAGCCAAACTCGATTACCCCTCCGTAAGTTTTCCCCCAAGCAAACGTAACCGGATAACTCTGAAGCTAAACTGAGAGCGGAAGTTCAAATCTACTACTGGAGCGTTTAGCTGTCTACAGATAGCCAAGCGTCAGCATCAATAACTCAACAGAAGCCTTGCGGAGGCGCTGAGATCGACATAGGCCCGCTCACCATCAACAGCTCAATGAATGCTTTCATCAGAATAATATTCAATACGGCTCACAAGCAACATCTTTTGACACTGCCGTCGCTCATGAACGAAGAACCAGCAGAGCGAGGTCTCTTTGAGCCTTTCGAACTCGAAAAGCTCCTTGACTTCTGCGAGCAGCGGCAGGGTTTTACGGCCAGCCTGCAAAAGGACCCGCAGCTCGTCTCTTCTGTGGATATGTCGGATGGCTTAGTACTGCTGCAGTTGCACTGGCACTTGCAATTGAATCCGGAGTTGCTGTTGTCTTCGGCACGTCGTAGTTGCTGCAGCGGTGGTAGTAGTGATTGTTGTGGTGCAACAAGCACAGCCAGCGACACAAACTGGAACAGCTCAAAACATCATGTATGAGACTATGTTGTTGAGGTCGTAGTAGGAGAACAGTCTCCATGCCTGATAGCGTGAGGACAAGCAGGGGCACGCCAGGGCCTTAGTACCACCCCGGAGCGCGCGGCTGTTTCCAAGACTTGTGAGGGCTTCGTCATGGTGAAGAGTGTACGCACTACCCCCTTTCCTGCATGTATAGGGTCTTGGTTGTTTGACAGGTGTCGTTTCGAAGGCCTCCGGTTTTGGGGCTGTTGATGTAATTGAGGTTCAAGCTCAAGTTAGAAGTCGTTGAAGCATGCAGTGCCCATCCGGCGTCACGAAATCAGCTCCGCGCTACAGCCGCATCCGTAATTAGAGTTGTCCGGGTGCACGAGGCCTTCGCTAGCGCTTTACCCCGAAGGTAGAAATCCCTTAAAAGTTACCAAACTGCACGGAAATCCGCACCCAGAACAAGTTTCATGAAAACCTCTATTAAACCCCTATCAAGACTATTGCAAAACCCCAAACCCCAAACCCTAAACCCTCAATCACAAAGCCGGCGCAACAGTCGGATCCTCGTTGTATCGGCCCCAAGATGTACGGATGGCTAGACTCCGAAGCCTAACTTCAAGAAGCCCCATATCTAAACTCTGAGAAAAAGAAGAAAACACAACTACACCCGTTTCTACAACCTGCTATTTTTTTAAAGAAACCCTGATAAATTAACACCCATACTAAAACTTTTTGGAAAAGCGTCATAGACCCATGGCCAGCTTGTGTTTTAAACTCAGAAAACCTTGGCTCAACCCTGTTTCGAGCACATACTATAGGGGCCTTCAGAACTACATATACTATTAATTATTTTGGGGGCTCCTTATTACAAATGTAGTACAAGATACCCCGAAACCCTATTCTAATTATGAAGGTCCCTACATTACAGCCATTGCTACACCCTCATGGAATCTTCCTACGACCCTTGTTTTGCTCGACCAGAACCACATCAGCCCCGGTAAAATCCTTCAAAAGACCAGATGTAAAACCCTGCAAAAGCCTGGAGAGAGCCCCATCAACCCCGGCCAAACCTTTATGAATGACGTGCCCCCTTCACATAAGCCCTAGAGCCAAACTTTCGCCGGACCCTATCAACCCTCGGGATTCCGAAGACCCCTTTCAAAAGCATAAACCGCAACAACTCTTATAAAGCTCCCTCTGCAAACCCGAAGGTGGTCCAGGACGGTCGCCGCACTTCCGAGTCTTGCCCTATGCTCTGGCCGATGCTCTGCGAGAGCAGCACAGAGACCGAGGCAGCTGGGAAGGCTTTACAAAGCGGTTTAAGGCCTGGGGCTTTGGGTTTAGGGTCTGGGGTTTAGTTTTTAGGTCTAGGGGTTTAGTATTTGGGGTTTGGAGTTCAGCTCAACTCGAAAGTTGCAGTGAAGCCTCCGCGGTTATTCGTGTTATTGTGCTTCGATGTTGGGGGCTCAGGGCTGCTTGGGTCAGAGTCTCGGAGTGTTTCAGATCTCGTGTTTTGGGGGATCTAGGTGTAGGGTTTAGGGTTTAGGGTTTAGGGTTTAGGGTCTTGGGGTTTAGGGTTTAGGGTTTAGGGTTTAGGGTTCAGTGTAGGGATTAACGTCTTGTGCTGGGCCTCACGCCCGAAGACCGCGAAAATCCGTGCAACTGACCACATACCTTATTAAAGCCTCAAAAACAATCCCTGAGAGGACTCTTACAAAACACTTGCATAGAGCCCTTGACACGGAGCATTCTCTGAGAGCCCTATAAATCCCAATTTATCAGGTCTCTGCAGGATCTCTTGCTAGGGTGCCTTTACTACAAGGATCCAGAAACAGCTTCGCGCAGGCAGAGTTGGCTGCAGCGGCGGAGGCTTCACGGCGCTGCGCAGCAGCCTTGGGCGTCGAGGCGTTTTGCCGCTGCCTGTAAGGGTTCCTGTACAGGTTCTTTGAAACGTGCTATAGGGTCCCATGTGTAATAGGGTCCTCTTTTAGAGTTCCGTGAAGGGTTTATAGTTTTTTGTCGGGCTTGGTGGCGGGGATCTTATAAGGTTTCCAGGGTTGTCGTGGTTTGTGGGGCTTGGGGCCGAGGGTGTGCGGTTTTGGGGCTTGAGGAAGTTTCGCAGAGGACCTTATAAGACCTTCACAGGATTTGAGAGGGTTCAAAGACCCACATGTCTTTTCAGGCTGGATGTCGAAAGGTTGTGCCGGACTTCCTGTAGAGTCTTGGGTTGAGAGGGAAGGATCTGGGATTCGGGGTGTGAGGATGTTGGTTGCTTAGGCTGTAACATGTTGTTTGTGGAGGTAAGCTGAGTCTGGTGATCTCATAGAGGTCTGCTTCTTCCGGTGTCTATTTCGAGATCTACAGTTGAGGTGCTATCTGTAGCAAGGCTTGATGCCGATGTGCATTGTCATCCTTTTTTTGTGTGACCCCCTAGTGTTGTTAAGCGAGCTCACTGAAGCCCCAAAACCTGAACCCCAATCCACCAAACTCTAGGACCACTCTACGCCCGGAAAAGACTCCAAAAGCTTTTCATGCAGAAAACTGAACATCCAAATCTTGAGATCTTTCGGCTCAAGGCATAGATAGCTCCGTTCAGGGCCTTGTCATGCCACAAAGCCTCAATACATCAGGCACGAAAACACAAAAAACCTTCGTCACAGTGCCTCTTACAGCCACCGTAACCTTAAACCCTTAGCCCGAAACCCTAAACCTCTGCAAGATTCCGGAACCTCGAAGGTGCCGGCCGCATCCCGAACCACCCGCACCGAAGACTAAAGCTGCGGCTTAATCCGGGGGCCTTAATAATTAGAATAGGGTTTGCGGGGTATATTGCACTATAGCTATGATAAGGAAACCCCAGAACCTTGTTCTAAACCCTAAACCCTAAACCCTAAACCTGCTGAACTGCATTGGTGTGCA